ACTGTAGCCTTCGCAGGGAATGCGTCGCACATTGATGGACAAATATCAGAAATGGAATTTGACTCTGTTACCCAGAAGCATGCCTGCGATACACTTCCCCAAATGAGGCTTGACTGTAGCCACACCCAACGAACGTATCGGCAATGCACATGATGCCATCCAATTCCGCCGTAAGAAATTCTGACTCTCTGCGGACTATGTGCTTCTAATGGATGTCTTCAGGCCTATTGCTGTAATCTCTTTCCTCATCTTTCTCTTGACAATTGCATGCCAACTTGATGTCTCGGGAAGCGATCTGCTAGATCAAGACAATGATTCTGTAGGGGAAGGAGGATTTCTGCTTTGTGCCCTGACAAACCTTCGAACTCAAGATGCGTAATGCTCACCAGGGTGAGCCTCATATCCGTGCCCGCATTGCTTAGAGGCATGACCACTACAGGGATTTTGTCCGAGGCTTCTGGACACTGAGAATTACTGTATTAGCAGTAATGGCCCTATGATCCCAGCTGTCACCCAAGTCGATGACTTTCCACGTCCTGATGACACACTGCTCTGCATGGTAGACTGCAACCTTATGTCTGCTTCAGAATGGGAAACACTATTTTGGGAGAATGTGCACTCTCCGACAGAGTATTGCAGGCACAGTACATATTCATGGGTGCAGCACAGCTGTCTATACCAGCAAAGTCGGTAGCAACGTGATTCGTAAACACTCTCTTACACACGGGCATAGTTCACCCAGTTTGCTGCAAGGGACAACATGAGAATGTCTGCTCTTCTGCGGTGAACCTTCTTCTCTTGTACTTGGTGTACCTGGCATGCTATCTGTCATGGACGTCTTCCTAGCTTGCGTTATCTCCTCACCTTCTCTGCCACCTACCTAGAGAGATAATTGGCTATGTCCTCCTCCTATCGTATGCTATGTCCTCTTCATCAGCAGCTGAGAAGTGAACTGCTTTCCCAGAATTCTGGTGGCAGCAATTCCAAGATGAGGACTACTATGGTGTGTCCTGCCCTGCCCTGCTCATGCCTCACACAAATAGTGTTGCTGCACCTACTCCAACCTCTGCTCCAAATGACCTCAATTTTGGGTCGTTTGTATCGAAGCCGGATCAGAGGTCCAGAATGGAGGTTTAGGTCCAAACAGAGCACGGTCAGCCATCCTCTTCGGCTCCAGTCCAAAACCGGCAAGCTTTCCACCTCTGCCACTGCCTTGCCCGATCACAAGGCCATGGCAATTACAGCTGTATCTGCCCCCACCATTGCCCCAAATACAACTAAAATAACCACATTTTATGTTGAGGGAAGGTGGCAGCTGACAATGCCTTGGCTAAGATGTACCGCATGGTAAACGGCGGAGCTGTGCAGAATGCCAAGGTAGGACTGGAGGTGAGTGAGCAATCTGACCACAGAGGAAAATGAGATAGAAGCCCCCAGACATGGAAACAACATAGGCCAGGACTCTGGGATACTGAAGAGACGTCGTAAATGTGTAGGATCAGAGCAGCACAAAGAGGCAAATATAAATCAACACTAAGAACAGTTAAAATCAGTGAGAAACAATATGTGGAAGAATCATAATGAATGAGGCACAGTGATTGACGTTTGTTGCTTAGTGGCTCGTAGACCCTCTAGATGCCTAAGAGATCCTCAATACCTAAGGGATCTTCCATAGAGGAAACCTGGGGCCCAGAAAACATGCAGAAATCAAGACCTTTGGCCCTACTCTGGCTGCATTCCATCCGACCCTGGCTATCCCTATGATGGCATGTGTCATGGAACCGGTCAAGCAGTCTTATCCCCACATGCCCCTCATGTGCACTTGGTGTTGAATAGAGTCTGGGTACACACGGTCATGGATGAACATCCATGCTGCGGTAGGGTGAAATGTCCCACACTGGGCTTCACTTTCATCCCATCTCACTTTATGAATTGGCATCCCATCTCACTTTATGAATTGGTTAAGTGATCCACTTTTTTGGTGGCAGGTCATAGGTTCGATTACGAGTGAATTGATCTTGGACTTCTTGCATGTTAGCAAGCAAACACAGTTTGCAATGGCTTTTTTTTTTTTTTTGGAAAATCTTCATGGAGCAAAACTGCACTACAAATTAACTCTCAATATACACTGCTTACGACCAGTTCCAACGGCCATTCCCATCATTCACCCCTTTTTCAATGAGACTTAGAGGTAGACGCCTTCCGGGTCCACATTGCATTGCACCATCTCCATTTTTACCCAGCACAGTGCCGATTGCAAATTTGACCAAAGAATGTCCCTCCTCTGATATCATCGCGCTCACGTACTCCCGCCGCCTTCCGTCATCGTTTCTCAACCTGTGAGCAATAAAAAGGGTGTGCGATGCAATAGACGAGCTGGCATGCAGAGACCCCGCGAGAACCACCAGACTCTGCCCTCTCCTACAAACCGTCTCCTCCATCAAAACAGGGAAACTCTTTGAGCATTCATCCCTGCATTCATTAACTCATCGCTAATCATCACAAATTAAGCCCATATCTGAGAGCATTGGAGCAGCGTCTCTCTCTCAGCTGAAGATACGGCCTCCTCCCCCCCCCCTAACATCCACTGGTGGTGCTGAAGATACAGCCTACCGTCTTCACCCGAATAGAACGCCCGGTCATTTTAGCTGTATTTGATGCAACTTTCAGTCCAGATACGGCAATAATTACCGGGCGTTCTATTCGGGTGAAGACGGTAGTTGAAGCCGAAAAAATGAACTCCCTTTCTGGATCCGGCTAGGGTACATCATAACTCCCATAGATTTGGGTGGCGGATTGCTCTTAAATCTTGCACGGACGACACCTGTGCTGCCGTGAGACCTGCAAACCTTGCCCCAGATACATCGGTACTTTGAGTCATTCTTGTTTGTCTTTGTCTTCGCCTTGTAGACGTATGCAAGACGTCTTCGTCTTCATCTTTGCCTTTCCGACCTTTTGGATGTGGCAGCTTGTCCATTGTTCTCTGTCAAGCTTGGAGGCGCCTACTAGTAACGAATGCCAGCGAAGATGGTGCTCGCCAAGGGTCGGCACATCTGGCTGTATGTGCGGGGAATATCATCGGATACAGGAGATCGAAATTGAATCAGTACGCTAACACCTCTCTTATTCAAATAGATGGCGTGGACACCCATGAGGCTGTGGTATATTATGTCATTTTACCGTAGGGATTATATCGAGTACACATAGTCCCACAGTCCACTGACAAAGGGTGCATAGTACTGCATACACAAAGTAAACAATGATAGATGGAGAAGATAAATATAGGAGAATTGAACCAAATTATAACAGGGCAAGGTTCCCACCTCTTTGTGGTAGAGCGGGAAGCGTCCACACATGTGTCTGCTCAACTCACACTCACACTATATTAAAAAAAGGCAAATTGGCAAACAATCACCCACACTCCTGCTCCAGGTAAAAGGAATATCACTCTGCTGCTATCTTAGCAAGGCTAGGTTGCTCCCGTAACTTCGTGTGAAAATAGCCACAGTGCCTCATTGTCCTATGCCACTTTGTTGGTCTTGCTATCATCCTTTTTTTTTCAATCATCATAGCATTATTTTGCTATCTTGTTGATAGTGCCGTTTTACCAGTCGATCCTGCTCACCTCTTTTCTCTTCTTTCTTCTTTCTTCTGGCTTCATTTTGCTGATCCAAGCCTATGCAAAGCTTAGTCTCTGAACATAAGTCCAAATTGGTGGTTCGGCAGAAGGGCTTATGCCACAGGCAGGTTTAGACTTCATCGTACATAAGTAAGACCATTTCTTTTCTTTTTGGGCAAATTGCAGAAATACTGGTTCCGATAAGTATTGTAACAAAATACCGGTCCACCTCTGTATGGCCACAAATAAACCTGGAAAGTTGCAGAAATACCGTTTTCGCAAAGTTTTGGAGCAGATTTACCCAGGTCCTCCTTTCGTGACAGAGACCCTGTACGCCAGGCCTGAGGCAAGCACTCCAAGGCAGGCGGGTCCTCTGTTGCAAAAGGAGGTACCGCCGGTGTATTTGCCGCAAAAGAAAGACCTGCCCGGTAAATCTGCATAGAAACTTTTGAAAAAAGGTATTTCTGCAACTGGCATATTTGTCACAATACAAGGGCGGACCGGTATTTTTGCTACGATACTTCTCGGAACCGGTATTTCTGCAATTTGCCCTTTCTTTTTCTTTCTGCCCCTCTCGCCCACCCCCCCCTGAAAGAGATAAAGCGGAAGCCTCATGGCTATGGCTCTTGTCCTGGTAACACTCAGTCCAATTCCTCCTCCCATGGTAAGTCTTTAAAGAAGCACATGAGCACACTCTCACTCTTCCCAATTTCGGACTTGGCAGTCCAGACCCCTTAATTACTGAGGTAAATTGCTAACAGTGACATGACTCAGAGCACTGCGACTCAGTGAACTCTTGTTACGAAGTTGACAAGACTTGAACCTTCCATTTCGGGTGTACCCGGTGTAGTTGCCTTTATCCAGCTGTTCTTTCGTTTTCCTTTTCTGGTCTGCTGCCTGCTGAAGCTTTTCCTCCCCTCTGGCTAGGTGTGGGATTGGCTGGAAAATTGTGGATCCAGTTTTCCAGCTACCTGCCTGGCTGCTGACAAGATATATGTGCAGGTATGGCGTCTTCTCCTTCTCCTGCTTCTCGACGTTCCTCAATTTTTGTTGGAGCCATTGACCAAGGAACAACAAGCACGCGTCTCATTCTGTACGATGAGTCCAGGAAGGCCGTGGCTTCCCATCAGCTTGAGCACAAACAGATCTGCCCGAGAGCTGGCTGGGTGGAACATGATCCAGTGGAGATCATTAAGAACACACRCATATGTATGGAGCAAGCCATGGCAAAAGCTCGATTGAAAGGGCTGCGCGTGGACGGGCGAGTACGCAGCAGTGGTATAACAAATCAGAGGGAGACGACAGTAACATGGAGTCGGTCCACTGGAAGACCCCTGCACAATGCCATTGTGTGCATGGACATCCGAACAAGTGCCATTTGCAAAACGCTCGAGCAAGAGTTGGAAGGAGGGAAGGAGCACTTCAGACCCATAACTGGATTGCCAATCACCTCATACTTCAGTGCGGTTAAGCTGAAGTGGTTGTTGACGAATGTGAGGGAGGTAAAGTCTTTGGCAGATGCTGGTGATGCATTGTTTGGCACCATTGATTCTTGGCTAATATGGAATTTAACCCGCCGTTTACCTGCATACGACACGTTGGTGTCACCGCCGTCATCTCCGCCGTCATCTCCACCGTCATCTCCACCGTCATCTCCTTCAAAACCTAAGAGAACAGTTTTTGTTGTTGCCGATGCGATTCGTAGTAGTACCAGCGGAGGAGGGGGAGGAGAGGGAAGGGGAGGAGAAGGGGTTCATGTGACAGATTGCTCAAATGCATCAAGAACAATGTTGATGGATTTGAGAAAGATGACGTGGGATGCAGGAATAGCAGACGCAYTGGGTATTCCAATGGGCATGCTGCCGAAGATAGTGAGCAATGCACAGGTCTATGGAGTGGTAGGAAAGGGGTGGCCTCTGGAAGGAGTACCTTTGGGGGGTTGCTTGGGTGATCAGCATGCTGCTCTGTTAGGTCAGTTGTGCACAAAAGGTGAAGCCCAGAGCACTTACGGAACCGGATGCTTCATCTTGTTAAACACAGGGGACTCGATTGTCTCATCCAGACATGGCTTGCTTACCACCATGGGTTTCAAGTTGGTACCGAAGGCAACACCGCAGTATGCTTTAGAAGGCTCGATAGCTATTGTTGGTTCAGCTGTGCAATGGCTAAGGGACAACCTAGGCATCATAACCAAGGCCTCCGATGTGGAGGCCCTCGCCAACTCTGTAGCAAACACAGGGGGTGTATATTTTGTACCTGCTTTCAGCGGTTTGTTTGCCCCGTGGTGGCGGGAGGATGCACGAGGAGTCTGTGTAGGCTTGACGAGGTACTCTACCAAGGCACATATTGCCAGGGCTGTGCTTGAGGGCATTTGTTATCAGGTGAGAGCTGTAGTGGATGCTATGCGGGAAGACCTCGGGCGAAGGAAAAGTGCTCTTACTGACAAGAGGAAGGAGAAGAAGGAGAAAGAGGAGGAGACAGAAGAGGAGGACGAGSAGGAACCTTTTATGTTGAGGGTGGATGGAGGTGCGTCGCAAAACAACCTGCTCATGCAACTGCAAGCCGATCTGCTTGGCTGCTCGGTTCTCAGACCAAAAGATCCAGAGACCACAGCCCTGGGGGCAGCCATAGCAGCCRGAATTTCTGTAGGCATGTGGACAGAGGATCAGGTTTTTGCTTCAGGGGCTCTGCATCACCATGAAAACATCGTTCAGAGCAAAAATGACACTGGGGCGAAGTCTAGCATGAGTACAAACAAAAGCAACAAGGAAGTGGGCGMGAGCAGTGTTGCAGTGTTTCRACCRCATATTTCTGATGAGCAACGGCAGAAAAGATATGTGTCATGGACACGTGCAGTTGAGAGATCGATGAACCTGGCAGACTTGTACTGACATTATGTGAAGACTCGTTTGATTTGTCCTGCTCAGCGTATCCCCTGCACCACTACCAAAGTCACACTCAGGCTCTTTCTGTGGGGCTAGGGATGTTGGACCTGCATGCCACACTATTTCTCTTCCCTCAACCACCCTCCGCACCTTGACCCCCCCTTCCACCTCTCCCATGTTTCTTTTCTACCCTTGTGCTTTTCTTGATCTTGAAAATTGGGTGCATTTTTTGAATTTTCCATTCCATTGCTGCGCAGGGTGCAACCCGGCAATTGAACATTTTTGCAGCATTAATTTGGAAGCAACTCCAGCTCTGTTTCCTTGCCAAAGTGATCTACTGCTACTGCATACTACTGGGCCAATTATGCTCTCATGTGTGAAGGYGGCGGCTTGGATGAGAGATCACTGATAAGCCTTGTGTGGGCTAAGAAGTTGGTTCATARGKACCAAACTATCTGGTCCTCATGCAGCTATATGATAAACCAGATACAGCTCCACCGGCAGAGAAAGAGATGACACAGATAATGCTTAGGAAGTTAGGATGCTATACTTTGTGAGTGTGGGATCCATGGTGTGATGTTCTTCATGGACACTTCATCCATGGAGTGATGTTCTTCATGGACACTGCATCCATCCAGGGAGGCGTGTTGTTGCTGTGGTATGCTGTCAAGCGTCAGTCGGTTCCGTGCTATGCATGGCATGCTGTGCTGTGCTCTGTTATCCTAGTCTTTTGCTATGCTGATTACCCTCACGTTGCTGTCTGACAAGGGATATGCTGCATTTCGGTCATGGTGCTCACAGTTTCTGACATGGGGTGGCAGGGTAAGGGTGAGGCAGGCATACACACAGTTACTCAAACACACACGGTCTGTGGCATGCACCGAACTCGGGCCTCTCAGGGCCAGCATTGGACCACTTTCGGGCACTGGGCCCCCAGGACTGATTCTTTATTTGTAATTTTTTTCTTCTTCAGGAAAACCAGTCCCTCCGCTAGAAGAGGTGATAAGAGTACAACCTTCTGGCGAGTAGGCTGATTGCTCCAATCTATTGGCGGGGAGCAACACCTGCTGGAAAACGGGTCCAGCGTCCCTGCTAAGGATTCAGCATCTGAAGACACTGACATCCTCCCAGCATTGATTACCCTGAAACCGGGGGATTGACTGAGCAGATGAAAGGATGCACGTGAGAGGAATTGGCAAGGGGTACAAGGGAACAAGCACAGCCTGGGGAACAACGACTGCAATGTTATGTGTTGTATGATGTATTAATGGGACGCTGGACCCGCTTTCCAGCAGGTGCCGCTCCCCACCAATAGATGGAGCAGCCCGGCAGATAAGCCCTCGATTCTGGTGGTTCTCTTACCACCATCGGAATGGAGAAGCTTACATAAGGGCTTTAAACCAAAATAAAAAAATAAAAAAAATAAAAAAAATAAAATTAAAAAAAAACAAGGGGGGGCCTCTTCGGAACCACTGCTGGGCGCCCAACCAACTTAACTACCTAGTCCCCTTCCAAGCCAGCGAATCTGCACATTCCAGTCTTAAGCAACTGCAATCTAAGCACCTAATTTCTGAGATTTATTTTTTATTTTAGATTTTTCTTGTCTGTTCCAGGTTTTGTCTGGGATGTTGTTTTTCGACTTTTGTCCAGTCTGATGTGTCGTTTTGGCTTTTGTCCGGTCTGGGCCACTTGCAGGCCCAACGACCGTTTTCAGGCCTTAAGGCTCAAGCACTTTGTTTCGGGCTGAACCAGTTTCTGAGGCCCCGCCCTTCTGAATTGAACTTTACCAGCAAGCTCTATCTTCGAGGATATTCTCAAATTAATACAAATATCATGTACCAAGTTACAAATCTGTTTGGCCAAACAATTAAGTCCATTCACACCAAGAATCCAATCTTTCTCATATTGAACATAATAGACTCTGATGCAGCAGGCACCTCGGTGTCCGGTTGGGACCTAGGCAGACCATGTTTTTGGCGTAGTCAGCGGACCATCCCCACAGCCTGCTTCCAGGACCGTTGGTCGATGCATTGATGCAACGGCCCTGGATCCTGGCAGCCCACACCAGGTCTAGTTGGGCACACACTGTGTCGAGGTCACATTTCGGCATGCTGTTGGCACAGCGTTAGAGGAGTGGCGTTAGGATTAACGCTAGTGAGATAGGAGGTTAGCGGAGCAGGAGAGATCAGCAAAGGTGCAGAATTGGAGAGGACTGACCGGGCGCGATCGCTGGGGACTTCGTCACTGGCTATTGCCGGCCTTCCACCTGCAGCACAGGACAACTCAAGACTTCATCTGTCGCTGTTCAGTAACTGGATGTGTGTGTGTGTGTGTGTGTGTGTGTGTGTGTGTGTGTGTGTGTGAGTGTGTGTGTGACATTTGGACGGACTATTCGGGACTATCCCGAGAGACTGTTATCATTCAACTGATACATTGAGCAGCTTCTTCTTCTTCTTCTTCTTCTTCTTCTTCTTCTTCTTCTTCTTCTTCTTCTTCTTCTTCTTCTTCTTCGGCTTGTTCTTCTTTAATACCCTGGCACGCTTTGCTAAGGGCACCAGTGTTCTCAGGGAGCCTTGATTAAGGCTGCTCGAGAACTTGGTAAAATGGGACTTAAAGACGTGGCGGAATTCTCGTGGCTGATGCGGCCGCAACTGGGACTGTTCTTACGGAATTCTGGCCGGTAAGGGTTATCTGCCTAGGTAGTTACTGCCGTGGAAATAAGAAATTACCCTAGGGGACTTCGTATATATTTTCTTAATAGCCAAATAGGGGCGTAATAGCAGAAGCACCAGCGGGCTTGATTCCTCGAATTTATTTTGTAATAACCAAATCAGGGCGTATTAGCTGATGCAACAGTGGGTTTGAATTTCCTGAATTATTTCCGGCATGTATATTTTTAATTTTTTGCTGTAGGCAGGCGTTTTTGGACCTCGTAATTACATGGCGTTGCCACGGTAGCCCCTCCGCCAGTTAGGCTGCCTTGTCACGGTGCCACTGAGTTGTACCCGCCGTTTTTTGAAAAAGAGCGGGGAAAGCTCCTGCTGCGTGTCTGGTTTTTGAAATTACAGGACGCACGCGTGTAACTGACTGGGCTACCGGGCCACATAGGGATCACGACAGCAATCCGCGCTGCAAGAATTAGGCCAATGAGAAATCATACTCTAGGTTAGTTCGTAAATATTTCTTTTGAAAACGTTAATCGAAATATGTCGCGTTGCCACGGCAGCCCTTCCGCCGTTAGGCAGTTCAGTCGCGGTGTTGCTCGGATGTACCCGAAAATTTCAAAAGAGCGGGAAAGGAAATACGGTGAGTCGGATTTTGAAATGAGCAGGTAGCGATCCACGGTGCACAGGTTAGTCCAATAGGAAATCGGAGATAGAGAAAGGCAGTGTTCGACGGAGGAAATGGAATGTTGGAATGAACTATTTGTGAACTAAGTCGCTAGTCTATGCTTAGTACGCTGACATGTGAACATGCGGTGAAAGCCAGTTTTGAAGGGTAGTCGTTGTGTCATCAATCGGAGGCCTATAAGGATTGGCTATATGGACTATCGGATGCCCGTTTGAGGGGCCGACACGTAACAGTTTTACTATGGAATTCGACACAACGTCTATACTGCAGTATGGTCGTAGCCGTAGTCGCTGGTGGAAGTGCCCGTTTGGGAAGTGAGTACAGTGCGGGCTAGGCTTTCTACTTGGTGTACAGTACATAGGAGGGCAAGGCCATATTGGCCCTCAGTACTCAGAAGGATGGGTGGATTGACGGTGGGCCGCAAGGCATGGGTACGAGGAAAGCCCCCTGAAGATGATCGGAGTGCAACCGATCAAAACGCATCGGGGATTGTGCGTGTGAGCTGAGATGAGTACGCGCGGCTATGCATTGAAGGAGCTTTCGAAGCGTGTATGAAAGGCAGTCGGCCACTGTTTTCACTATTTCGTGTAGCATGGTAACCGGATGAGAGGAGATACTCACACTGGTGGCTATGTCGACGAGCTGGTTTGAATGCATTTGTGAGGTAACAGCAGACAGTGACGAGACATCAAGCAACGACGGGACAAGAATACAGCATGATAGGAGCACCAGGAACTTCGACTGCTAGCGCCAGCGGGGTTGGCAGAAGTAGAGAGAGACCGGATAGAGTTGGCTTCACAAGGACGTTACAAGGCCGTGCACGTTTGCAACATGTCGTCGGCAGGCATTGCAGGCGCCGGGGCAGGCGGAGCGGGTAGCTCGACCATCTGCTTCAACTGCAACCAAGCTGGTCACATCGCCAGAGACTGTCTGGTGGGCAAGGGTCAGGGTACTTTTGCAAACAACACGAAGTACTAGCAAAAGAGGAAAGAAAATGAAGATAACATCAACCGGGTGGTCAGGTGGGCAGACTACAAAATGCAGAAGGAAATGGAGGCGGAAAACAAGAAGGCAGAGGAGGAGAAGAGAAGAATAGAAGCCGAACGGAGGAAGCAGCAATTGAAAGAAGGATGTTTGTTGAATCCGAAAAAAGGATGTTGGAGGAATGCGACAGGAGAGATAGGAAGATAGAAGAGGCGGAGCTAAGAACGATAGCGGCAATATCAAGGGACCTGCGAAACTTCAGAGCGGAGATAAGAACTAAAATCCAGATGACTTTGGCAGTTGATTCCAAGATGTCGAAACGGGACAGGGAGATGCTTGCGAGCGGATTGGACACATACATTATGGAAGAAGAAGTATTGATGGACGATGGATTGAAAGTTTCACCAAAGAGAGCAAGAGGGAAGCGTACAGCCAAAGCATACGCGATGTTGGACGATTGGGAGGAAGAAGCAAGAGTTATGTCAAGAGTGGACTACAAAAAGAGCTTGAGAAGGAAAGCATTTACGTCATCGAAGAGCACCTCTGCTGTGACGGACACTCCCGCATCTAGCAGCAAAGGGAATATAGTACAGAACGTACTGGACACCAGAAATAAGTTGATGGCGAAGGAATGGAGGGAAGTGAAGAGGCTATGTGAGGCAAGGAACATTACCTACATCTCTAAGGAGCAAGATGTTTGTGAGTTGCTGAATAGAGCAGTGTGGGGCGATGATGATGGGTTTTCGGATGAGGTTTGGGAGCGTGAAGACGTTCAAGATTCATGACGGTTTGCACCCTCGGTTAAGTTCATCTGGGCTTACATTGTTATTCTCTTATCTCTGAGAGAAGCAATTTGGGGGCACACTGGGATATCAAAACTTAGATCGCTTATGGAGAAAGCTTCCACCGCCTGTACATTATTGCTAGCACTGATGGGCCAGGTCCCGTGGGTTAAGAAGCTTCTAGATTTAATGCCGCAGAGCTGGAGTTGGGATGATTTCAAACAACCTGTAGTGTACGGCCTCGTATTACCATGGTGTAGGAAAGCCTACGTAAGCAGGTCCATTAGAAGTGTTGCAGAAAGATGGTGGGAGCATGTAAGATGCACGCAATCAGGAATGGAGGGTAGGGCGCCACTGCTCTACAAGTGGGTGAGAAGGTTTAGCCAGAGTAACTATGTCGTTATTCCGATTGCTACGTCAGAGGTCAGGGGGCTGGGGAACTTGAAGAAGGCGCTCATAAAAAGATTCTCCCCAGCGCTTAACACGTTAGGCATGGGGACGGAAGGCAACGCCAGAAAAAGACCGGGAAGAAGAGAAAGGCGAGCGAGGGAAGGCAGAAATAAGGAGAAGGAGGTGGTTGGGCGGACACGTATCATTATCTTTCGGACGGTTATTAGCTCACTAGGTAGCACTAGCCTACAAATGAGTCTAGACTCGACCTATAGGGAGGGGAAGAAGCAGATTCAGATTATTAGTGAAGGTGGTATGATTTGGGGAGAGAGTTGGTCGTTAGTAGAGCGAATATTTGGTGCTTCTACTGTCGTTACGCAAGTAGGGAAGATAGCGCTCTCCCATGCGAACGCCTGGTTTGAGGAGGGAGGTAGTTTCTAAATTGCCCCCATCGTTATCACGGAAAACACAAGAGACAGAGGGAAAGGTTACCTACGGCAACTCTTAGAGATGCCCTTCAAGCGGAAGGAGCTGTCACTTATGTCAGTTGATAAGCTTATGCACTTGTACAACTGCACAGGATCGTTCAAAGAAAAGGAAAAGAGGAGGTTGATCAAGGATTTCCTGGGAAAGGCAGTCGGAAGGAAAGCCTGTGTAAATATCCGAAAGCGGATCACTGTATGGGTTAGGTACACTAAGGTGGTGAAGAAGAGCGGCATTAGGAGCACCCTGATCACAAATATTGAGAGTTGTGCTCTGCATCCTGCAATCGTCGGGATCCTCAAAAGGAAGTCGAGAGTAGTCTGGAAGAGGAACAGGAACGTTGCTGAAATCCTATGCAACTACAAGCAGCTTAGCAAGAAGCCGGAACTGTCATGTACGTGCAAGCACTACAACCTACCTGGCGTCAAGGGACACGTTCTCATGAAGATAGCCGATATCCCAAGACTACCAGCCTTGGTACTGAACGGGAAGAACGTGGTCCGTCCCAAGCTCGAGACGACGGAGGAAGAAGTAAGTAGCAGCTTACGGATAGCGCTTACGTCTGTGTTGGGGAACCAACTAGGTAAGCAACTTTCTAATCTCCAGATAGATAGGTGTATCTCACTGAAGCAGAATGGAGATTGCAGCGCCGGCGAGGGGCTTGTCTACGGGGTTAAAAGCAGTTCAAGGATTTGCTAATCACGCAGGTCAACAGGAATGCAGGCAACCTAGTGCGGATGTGTCCATCGACATATCAGATGGATTGGATAAAATGTTTACATGGAGCGTTGCCTTTGACGAAGTCAACAGCAGTAGAGACCTTGAAGGAAATGAAACGGAACTTCGAAGAGCTCGGGCTGCACAAACTGGTGAACTGGAACTCAAAGGGGAAGATAGGTAATGCATGCCTGTTACCCAAGCACAAGGATCTTGAAAGTGGGGGCCCATTGCTCCGGCTTGCTGCGAGCCTACTATGACTGGCAGCCGCTCGATTGCAAGGGCTCTCAACCACTTGCTTGAAAAGGATGAGAGCTGCGCTAGCGCTAGCGCCCCATCGGCGCCAGTCCGGTAAGGCCCGGTCTGCCGGCTCGACTAGTGCCTGGGGGAAGGTCCTTCGGGCAGTGGGCCTGTACGCGCGCCCGGTAGACACGCGTGGTGTTTTGCCACGTGGCGCCTGTTGTTGGCTACGTAGGTGTCCCTCGACGCGCTGACAGGGGTGACGCCGGCCGTGGATCTGTTGACACATTGACGCATAGTGGCGGCAGCTTTCGATATCAATAGCCATGATAGGGGAGGGCATGGAGACTTTGCCTCAAGGGGGGCTGCGGGGAACCCCTCTTCACCCGCAGACTGAGGAGGAAGTGTCCGTGCTATCGATTGTGATCATCTACAAACAACAGTTGAAGGAGATGTATGCTGCGCTGTGTCAAGAGCATGGCGAACTGCCATGCGATGGTCTGTTGGAGGGAGTGGAGATCTACGATGGGTGGGAGGAGGAACTTTATGAGCAGATCTTCCTTTGACAGCGGGATGTGATCGATAGAGCGTGGGCCATTACTGCTCTCCACGACTGTGCTGGGATGCTGCAGCAGGTCAAGGATATGTTTGTTGGCCTTCTAGCGAGGCGACACGCGAGTGGTCCGCCAGACACCGTGACATGGACAGCCTCGGCAGCAGCAACATCATCAACAACAACAACATCATCAATACCATCAATATCATCAACAATAGCAATAACAGCACCACACCGACCGCACCAATAGAGGCCGTTACGGCCATATTGCCAATTACAACAGCCATAATAATAACACCACTATCCATAGCAGCGACATCATCGAGTATTCCAGGTTGTGTTCAGCAATGGAAGCCGGTTGAGCACGGTCATGAGGCATGGTGGTTGGAAGAGGGGTCCCCCCCTTATGTGGGATTCGCGAATCTGCCACAATCGGCTGCGCAGATGCGGCGCGGCTATAAGGCCCTTGAGGAGGGGCAGGGGCTTTGTGGCGAGTTCGAGCACCGACTTCATGATGACGATGACGACGATGCCGCGGATGGCCTTCGGGACAGCAGCATCACCGTTGGAGAACCAACCAGGATCGATGACGCTTTTGATGATAAAAACAACAACAACAACGATACAGTATGCAATGACAAAACCTTTTTTTTTTTTTTTTTTTTTTTTTTTTTTTTTGAAAAGATGCTTCATCTATTGGTGGGGAGCATCACCTGCTGGAAACCGGGTCCAGCGTCCCTTGAATGTACAATTTGAAAAATGGAAATAAAGGAATCAAGAGCATAACAATAACCTAGATTTCGATGAAAATAGCGACACCCTCCTACCACCTGGCAATCTGAAAATAACACTACCTCTTCATCTTTTATCAGGACGCCAGATATATTCTTGTAAAACTAGCAGTGATATCCTTATAATCCATACCAGGAACGTGGAACCATGGCTGTTGCAGGAGGAGGGAAAGGAGTTGGGAAATCTGAGAAAGGTCTCATGGGAATTGAAGCGTCAATGGAAGTCAAATCATCAAAAAACAATTTGTAATCTCTTTTAAACCCAGCAGCATCTTCATTGTCAGCAAAATTCCAAGTGACACATCCAATTCTCCGTCTCTGGTTTCCATTCAACCATTTGTGACTGAATTTCCGAAAATGACTATGGATTTCTGCTTTATTCGAGAGAAATTGTACCTTTTCCTTGGTTCTTTCCCAATTGGTTAATATATCTGTTTGAACTTGTTGTTTAATAGTTTCTGTAAAATCCAGACCATCTAGTTTTGCCCCTTCTCATTCATACGTACATCTTCTCATCCATGTGGCCCACATCACCGCTCTTCTACCCATACGGAACAAATTGTCCACAAATTCCAGATTTTCCACAAGTTCCTCACCATTTTCCACTAAATCCGGGTCAAGACTCCAGGTCTACAGAAGAATAGCTTTCCAACTCCATGGCCAAGGCACCTGTGGGATTAACTGTGACCAGATTCGATCCCACCACCTCCAAAGCCATACAGAACCCGGGCATTGCATAAAAATATGCTCTATTGTTTCAGCATATAGTCTGTTTGGGAAAGTTGTTTTGCATAGCTTGCACCACCTTTCTGTCAATCCTCTCTGTTCTAGTGTTGATCTGTCTATCAGCCAATCATTTACTGGTAGACATCTATGTTCAATTTGCCACTGAAGAGAAGCTATTTTGGCTAGTTTATCCTTGATTGTTTTGAACCACCTAACCAACCTTAATTCCTCCCTACTAATATTAAAATGTTTCATCCATCTGGTGGAAATCTTGTCCTTAAGGTTAATTCTAGGTCTAAGTATATGATATGCAGATTTGACCTTAATAGAGTGAATAGACCTTTTGAATGATCTATAATGCTTCCTTGTTCTTATGACCGAATTCCAAACCCAATTAGCCGGGTCAAAAGGGAGTTCTGAAATGGGACATTCCGGTTTAAAGGCAACCCAAGAATCCTTAATCCTCATTACCCTTATTCTGAAAATCTGTTGCGCCTGAACCCAACAGGTTTCCTCTTGCTCCCTAGGAATCACTAGATTTGTGGATAACAAGGAAATTTTTTGTAGAAAAATATTCTCATTTTGGTCTTGATCCAAAATTAAGCCAATAGACTGAGATTGATCCTTGAAGGCTACCCAATCATTTATTATTAACTTAGGGCCTTTCCTAAGGATACAAAACCATTCAAGAGGGATGAGTTCAATTACCTTCTCAAGTGCTTCTACAGGATGGTGACAATATATTAGCCTTGTCTTCAGTTTGGCCGGAGTAATCCACTCATTGGTATCAATATCCCAAATATCCTTTATCCTTATAATACCATTTCTAATTCATCCCTTCCAAGGTGAATGCATACAATGAAAGACAAATCCTTGGGAATGACATATTTCCTCCCACCTTTCAGGCGATAGCTTGTCTGTTAGAGGGAGTTGTCTCCAGGTTTTCAACATGGAAGTCCAAAAAGGATCATTTTTAAAATCAAGTCTGATAGTTTGTCTATCCGACCGAACTCAATGTTGATGCTACAAGATTGAATTTTCCCCTAGGAATAGTCCACGATCGATTTTCCAACCAAGTCAAGGGGTCAATTCCTTCAGGGGTTGGAGGAGCAAGTCTCCTGATTTGCTCGAATGCCAATGGTGCCCATGGAGTCTGAGGATTGAATAAAAGACGTTGCAACCATTGGATTGAGAGTGCCTTGACTTGTGTCAGAGGATCCAGAATTCCCCCCCCCCCCCCAACTTTTGGTTGGATAATAGATTGCCATGCCACTCTGTTGATGACATTACTATACTCATGATTGTCCCTCCACAGAAAGGCGGATAGTTGTTTCTGGAGAGATTTAATAGAACATTTTTTCAGGGACCAGATTCCTGATTTGTACCATATAGAAGCTAGAATAACATTATTAATGATTATTGTTCTTCCAAAAATGGATGTATGTTTATTCTTCCACATTTCCATTTTAGACTAAGCAGGTTGGGAGATCCATTCATTCTGATTTATTGGTCGGCCCTCAGCAGAAAGGGAAATCCCTAATATCCTAATTGGGTTATCCAGGGACAACCACTTTATCCTTGGTAATTCAGGAGGACGACCACCTTGATGATGTATCCACCAACCTGTCGTTTTACTACCCTAATTGACTCTCATATCCGAGAGGCGGCAAAATTTTTCCATCAGCTTATGAATTTCTTCCATATTCTCTTGAGTTGCGTCTACCATAATGGATAGGTCATCAACAAACAGAGAGCACACTAGAATTGCCTCTTCTCGTATGCTAGTAATTTGTATTATTCTAATATCCTTATGGTATCGCAAATTTGCTGCCAATGCCTCCATAATTATAACAAAAAGGAAAGGAGTCAACGGATCCCCTTGTCTTACTGATCTTTCTAGTGGAATGGGGGGTGCTACATTGTTGTTGACCATTACCCTTGTCGTTGCATTCTGATGCATAATTCTCACCCATCTTCTAAAATTTGCCCCAAAATTCATCTTTTCCAGACATTTGTCTAGAAAAAGCCAATCAACATGGTCATATGCCTTCTCAAAATCAATGGAAATGAAAACTGCATTATGCTTGGATTGACGAGATATTTTAAGAAGCTCATTTACAAGAAGAATATTATCCTGGATATTCCTTCCTGTAATAAAACCTGTTTGGGATGGGTGAGTGATTTATGGAATTATTGCAGTCAACCGATCCGCCAATGCTTTTGCTATGAATTTGTAAACCACAGTCAAAAGGGTTATAGGACGATAATTTCTTATATTTGCCTTGTCTCTTTTTTATATAATAGAGTAAGTACCCCTTGTCCTACAAATTCTCCCATTTCACCCGATTTCCATACCGCCTCATAAAAATCCATAAGATCTTTAGACATAAAGTCCCACGTTGCTTCGCAAATTTTTTTTGGAAATTCATCTATACCCGGAGATTTATCTTCCTCCATCAATAAGAGTGTCTTCCAGATTTCTTATTTTGCTAGAGGTTTGTCCATCAATTCCTTTTGTTTTTCTGATAAAGATTTATTTAATGGCCGTAAGAATTCTTTCATCTCTAGTACGCGCTGTTCCCTAGGAATATGATTATTTTGTGAAGTGAAATGTGATTTGAAAAAGTCTCTGGCAATTTTAGAGCAGGCCGCAGTCGAAGTAACCAAATCCTTATGAGAGCCAGTCGGATCCTCTAAAGCCTCTATTATGGTCCTTCCTGTTCTGGCTCTAGCCAGAGCAAAGAAACGCGCATCCA